TAAAATATGCAACTAATTACATTATTTAGTAATAAACTCTGGCCAAAAATACATTAATCCATACACGTAATTAAGGCCTCTTGTAGGATTTGAGGTTCTCACAGCGGTGAGTCTCAAGATGACTGTCTTCTGGGTTGCATTACTATGTAGTCTGGTATAAATTTGTCAATGTTTCCAAGGTTCCCTGACCCCATCATCAGGCACTACAATCCAGAAGATAGCAATCTTCATACCCACCACTGTGAGGATCTCAAATCCTACTAACAGTATGTGATCTTAATGTATGAGGAAGTGTGTAGAAATTAATCTACACGCACAGGATGTTTTTTCAAATTGAAACTTAGAATGTTACTACAGAAATCATTGAAAGTGAACTTCAATATGAGTCACAAAATCTAAGTTCCTGTTAAATATGTTTCCATGTCGGGAAGTACCAACTCATGCAGCTATTCAGAACATATTGGTTTAACTGCTAACATTTTATAATGTGGATTAAACACGCATCAGATTATGCAGTAGCCTGCAATTAAATTCCTGTGCAAAATGACCATTTTCTAGCTGGTATCTCATGCTTCAAACAGTAATATGGATGGCACAAGAAAAATTAAAGTCTCTGAAAGACCCAGAAACAACAGTAAGTAGAATACAAAACTGGATCGGGACTCTGGGCACAAGAAAAATTAAAGTCTCTGAAAAAACCAGAAACAACAGTAAATAGAATACAAAACTGGATCGGGACTCTATACATTTAAAGATATCTAACAATGTATGTCTGAAATGCAGTGGTATGTGTTAAAATAAGTTGTGGACATACCACTGACAAATCATTGGACATGCACTACAGAAAAACACGTATATAATACTAAGTTACAAACAGTAATGTGTGGGAAACTGTACCAAGCATTATAGATATAACCATAGTACATAGACTGAATACTGAAAATTATTTATTTTGAAAAACTGAAGAGTCAGAGAAGAAAATTTTAAACATAAACTAGAGTAGTCTTCAATTATGATTCTTTATGTGGGAGGAGATTATTATAATTCTTGATGGGACATTATCCATGGTTTGCATTTAAGTATTAAAATTCTTGCTAGGATAAAACATATTACTCTATGTCCATATAAGTTTATTTGACTACTCAGTAACACGTATTCAATGAAAAGATTATTTCCACACCCTAGAACTTGAATCACCTCTCAGCATAAATTATGTCACTTTTATAAGACCACTCACATTAACTTTCAACAGAAGTAAACAAACCATCTCATTGTTTCATGGTGAGCAAGCAAGAGGTCACTCTTTACCTTTATGTAACCCATCTGACAAACACCTCATGAAGCAGTTCCATCCTTTGTCCCCCTTCGCCAAATTAAAATCTAATGCAGCAACAGAACAGGTGACAATGATACCTTTATAGGAGTATACTGTCAATGTCAAGAATCTCCCATTTCTACCTTATAACCTACCTTAGAACCACTAAACTAAACACTAGCACACTTTACTTCCTCTGAGTCACAAGTGCAATATACTTCTGTTTAATAACTAACAACAAAGCTAGTTTCAACATTAAACAGAATTTTATGCAAACCAAAGTGTGAGCATGCTATCTTCCATTGCATATTTTGTGCCTCAATCCATTATAAGAGAGTAAAAAAAACTGTTTAAATTGTGTAATGTTCCATCCAACAAATAAAGCAAGATTCATTTGTAACATAATGTGTAATATTATTAAAACTTCAATAAAATCTAAGTTTGCAACGATGGTGGGAGAGACAACCTTCAAAACAATGACAAGACAAGACAAATATGTGTAACACTTCTCCATATTCAGCAGCTGTTGATAAAAGCTTAAAAACTTACTATTAGCATTCAAATTTATAAAGTACTTACTTTACTTACAGAACTTCATTCTAGTTCATGAACCAATCAAAAGAATTCATACACAGGCGAGAATATCCTAAAATTTCCTAACCTTTTCTGGCTCTGCTTGTTCCTGATGTTTGTTCAACCAATCCTTCAGTGTCACCTGAGAAGAGTCGCACACCCGTTTGAACATGTGCCATGTGTTCACATGAGACAGACAATTCTGACATATCAGCTTTGGAAGTACGTCACTCACCGATACCTAAACAAACGAACCAAATACAATTAATTCACATATTTTAATCTAGTTCATAACTCTACAAACGCTGAGAGGGGCATACATATTTCAAAACTGGGAATGTACAATTACGTTACACTTTTAAAAGTAACAAAATAATACAAACCTCAATTGAGACACAAGCCAATATTCTAAATGAAAGGGGAACATTTTGATTTCCACTCTCTTCTTCGCCAAAAATTGGCAAAATGCCTCCATCCTTTGATAAGCATAAACGACATATTTCACTCATGTTACACGCTACATCGTTATCTACATCTTTCGTATTCAACATTTTCGGGGCTTAATCAAGTATCACAATCGCAACTGCCTACATTTCTGCTGTTAACTATGCATCAAATCTAATGATGCTTATATCTTGTTGGTATGTGTAGCTGACTGTGCTCTCATGAAATCATCGCTGTAAGATTACTTCGGCGGGAAAATAAAACAAAATTTTAGCACACATTTCGCATTGTCAACAATACATCCTGCATGATAACAACATTGTATCAAAACATTTTTGATAATAAGACGATACTCCGAACACTTTTCCAAACATACCTCAATCAAACTCCAAAGAAAAAACTAAATAGGACCGTCCCGAGAGAGGAAAGAGAGCATAGTGTCTGAAAAACTAAATAGGACCGTCCCGAGAGACAGGAAAGAGAGCATAGTGTCTATGTTCCATTTGGTATTGTCACGGCTTTCTTGAGTGATTGGCTAACAAGTGCAAACCACTATTCGTGGTGTTCGCTTACGCAAACCGATTACCACGTACTAAACAGATATTTTCAAAACACAGTTTAATAATAATGTTAAACATAATCAAAACCCCGTTCATCTCAGTATTACACAATATGAACAAACTGCTTTCATTCTGTATAACGGTGACAATTTCAAAACACAGTTTAATAATAATGTTTAACATAATCAAAACCCCGTTCATCTAAGTATTACACAATATAAACAAACTACTTTCATTCTGTATAACGGTGACAATATAAGGACGAATGTGGAACTGGTCCGATCGATAGCATAATCGATTCCTTGCCATGCAGAGGACGACGGGGAGACAAAAATGTTTTCAGGCTCTCTTTTTCTTTCATGACAGGATTCAAGTTGGAAATCGAAAATGGATGACAGAAATTTTATTAGCATAATAAGATTCGTTGGGCATGCTCCAATATAAGAACACATACCAAGGACTAAAAAGAGCTTTGTAGAATAGTTATACAGAAAATTCTAGATTGTATACTGACTAAGATACACAATTCAAGGCCAGCTGAAGTACAGTTGATTGACCTCCAAATTAAATATTTACTTTCCTTACCTCTGGAATTTGGTCTGTTTCAATCATGTTAATAAAGAATTTTAATAGTTTCAATAATCCATGATGGTATAATTTCCTTGCGTAGCTTGAGATTCAAATGGCGGTTAGTTACTTCGATGAGTGATCTGGG